CTTAAAAAGATATTTTTAAAGATATTTTTGGCGACATTTTATTCAAATGTAGCCAAATAAGGGATAAAATACAAAACATGGCAAACCTTAAGAATTATTCACAATGAAATATTAACTTTCCAAAATTTTTTTTGGCCTTAGGACCTCTGAGAATCAATACATTTCTGAAAGCTCTTATGAATGGTACAATTATGTTTAGATTTGAACCCAAATTGCAATAACAAAACTGCATAGAATATAAGGCTTGTTCACACATCTCCTCGTAATCATAACATAAGCGGACGGATACACCGGAAATTTTCTAAATTTCTTCCGGTTTAAGGACGCTTGTTATTGTTTACATTAAACCACCTATCCATATCGAATTTAAAAAATACGAAAATAAAAATCATGATGCGTAATTTTTAAATTGAAAATACGAATCTCAATGTCTAATTTTTAAATGATGTATAAATACGAAAATCAATGTTTGATATTACATTTTTTAAATTGAAAATACGAATCTCAATGTCTAATTTTTAAATGATGTATAAATACGAAAATCAATGTTTGATATTACATTTTTTAAATTGAAAATACGAATCTCAATGTCTAATTTTTAAATGATGTATAAATACGAAAATCAATGTTTGATATTACAACCACATAAACGAATCACGACATGGGATTATAAACAGTGTGAATACGAATCACTGCATATTGTTTTAAAAATGTGTAAATACAAATCGCGATATTGGATTTTTAAATCTTGTAAATACAAATCGCAATGCGAAACTTTTAAATAAGGCAAATATGAAAATCAACACTTAATAATAAAATTGCGATTTTAAAAACTTGTAAATACAAATCTCGATATTGGATCTTTAAATCCTGTAAATAAGAATCACAGTGTACGATATTTAAATCTCATGAACAAGAACCACAATACGCAACTTTTAAATCGAAAATTGCTGTTTGATATTAAAATTTTGTGAATAAGAATTGAAAATCAGAAATAAATATAATTATTTTATTTCAACCACTGAATTTTCAGAAAAAGCAAAATATTTATAAAAAAACACGAAACTTCTAGCGAAAGGCTGCAACTTGAGAGACAAAAGCTAAAAATGCGAAATCCGCTAAAAAGAGGAAAAATCTCTTCAATGCTACATTAAAATAACCATTAAGCTTTGACAATTTCACAGGAGAAAAATTAAAACATTGCAGAATAAAACAAACTCAAAAGGTAACACACACTGCCACCACCTAGGAAACCAATATATAATCTTTAAATTTATTCTATGGACAACAACCAGTAGTTTCAGTAGACAATTAAAGTTGGTGCTATCAGTTACTCTGATATCAAAGACGATAATAAGATTAAAATACTTACAGAGCTAATCCTATAAAACCTTTTAAAGGAATTAATCCCCATACAAGACCTAACAATACACCTATGATTTGTCGAGTCCAATAAATTACATCTAAGAATTCTTCCTAAAAAGATTTTAAAAAAAGGATATTTTTAAAAACAAATTACATAAATGAATACTATAACTACAAAGCATAAATTAGGTACTAAGAAATTCAGAATTGATAATTTAACAAATCTTAATTTTTTTCACAAATAAATTTTTATTAGATCATTTTATAATAGCGATTAATAACTTCTTATTAAAATTCAACTCAATAATCAATTTTACAACAAAAATTTTTATGATGCTAAAAGACATTAACAGTAAAGAAGACGTGGAAAAGGAAATATATACGTGGAAAGTTACGTTATAAGACGTGGAAAAGGAAAGCAAAGTGTAAAGACTCAAAAATCATATTAATTTAGTAAGAATAATTCAAAATAAGATTAAATAGTAATTGTAAATTTGAAAATAAATAAACAAGCAATTCAGCGAAATCGAGTAACATACATTATTAAATAAATTGAGCAATGAACAAAATGCAATGAAACGTAAAAAATAAATTCAGAAATCCAAGGCAACTTTGCCTAATCATAATTAAATTATCACATTAAATTTTTTTACCAACACTTACTTTATCAGGCCATTTAGAGCAAGGGGTAAAAGTCCGAACCCACACGGAGGGCAAAACATTTTTAATATTGCCATTTCTTTCAGATTTTTTCTTTTGCATAATGATCAGTTATTTAATTTAACATAATAACACATTCACACATCCTCAATTCCACGCTGCGATTATAACTGGATTTGTTCTCATTTTCTTTTCTTTTTTTTATTTGTTGTTAAATTTATGCCAAAACAGTCACAGTTACAAAACTCATCAGCATGTATTGATAATTAATTTGCTTTTTTAATTAAAAGAATAATTTCTAAGCTGATAACTGAGGATTAAAGTGATAAATTTTAAATTTTTAATGCATAACTTCATTAATAAATATCCATTTGATCTTCCTATTGTAAGAAAGGAAATAATGATAGCCTGATAATTTTCGATTTATGGAGAAAATAAATCTTTTCCATCAATTTGCGACAATAATTGTTTAATATGAAAAAAGTTTTTAAACTAAATTAATATGAAACAAAAACAAAAATGGGCGGTGTCATGCGGCGTCCTAAAAATTTGCAGACAGCTACTCCGTTCTGTTTCTCCCCTACCCACATCCCTTTCCTCCACCTTTCGCTTCAACAGGATCGGATTATTGGCTTGTTTTTATTCATGTGTTGTGGATGCTGGTGAAAATATTTGTGCTGTTTTGTGTTCATTATTAAATTTTATGGTGAACGATGAGTTCTAAAAGATGTTCGCGTTGTGAAAAAACTGTTTATCCACTAGAAGAATTAAAGTGTTTAGATAAGGTAATAAATAAGTTATTTAGGCTTAGCTGATTTACCTAGTTCTTAGAAAACTTGATTATTTGTCCTATATTTTAAATATTCAGTGAATGCATGTTAACCTTGTAAGGACATGTTTTGACATAACTCTTAAAAGCATTCGTATTTTTCAATACTATAATTGACCTTATTTGAGAAGTCTCCTGTTAAACTACAATTTTAAGGTTCATAAAATTCTTTCCAATTCTGCAGTGATAGATTTTGAATTGGAAAGTATTTCATTTAATCCAAATTTTGAATAGAAATATTTAAAATAACTAATATAGCCATATTGTAAGTGTCATGCTGCTTATATGTGACAATTATGTTGAATTTAAAATTATTTAGATTTATGTTTGAAAATATCAATTATACCCATGATTATAGAGCTCTTCAACAAAGTAATGAAATGTTAATAAGTTCGATTTTCTTTTTGAGGTGCGTCAAATTTTAAAAGCATGAACTATTTAATAAATAATTAATTATATTTCACAATAACTGTCACTTCAGATAATTGGTATTAAAGTAGTCACCAGCTTATCTTGTTTACTGTTAATCTTATCTAAACATTATAATCTAAGAGATACTCCAGGAGCTTTACTTTATCCTTCATTGTTTAACCAGATATGTTATTTGTTTTAGAAGATAAGCTCTAAAAAGTATTTATAATTATTATTTCAGATATTTAGTGCTAATGAAATGTGTGAGAATGATCAAGATTCATTTCCATTACTCATTTTCACACAGTTAATTTTTATTCCACTATCAACATTATAATATTAAGGATTTACAATTATTTTCAAAACCAATTAGATTTTATTTGCGTCTAACAAGCTGTTCTCTAGATAAACAATCTTTGTTTTTAAAAATGATTGCGAAGAGATTTCTCAACAAAATATTTTTTCACTATTTTCTCAATAGAAGTAATTACAGAAACAAAAGAAACATCTAATTTATGAAATATGACCAAAGATGAAATATTTTTTTAACAAAAATTTAATATTTATTTAAAAGTATAATCGATTTTTCCAGCCATTACTGACAATTCAATTCAAATTATCTGATATATATATTATATTAGTGTATACTGGATGTAATAAAATATAATATGGATATGAGCACCGTGAGAATTCCTACAAGGATTGCAAACAAGCAATAAAAATGTCTGCAGAGATCTTTAAAATCATTTTGGCAGACTTAGATAAAATTAAAAAATTTTTGCAATTATAAAATGTTAAATTTCTAAAATTTTTTTACTCTTGTGATTAGTTTCACCCTTTTTTATTGCTCCCTAATTTTGACAAAATTTGTTCTAAAAGCACCGATTTTTTTTAATAGTGTTTACATTTTATCATAATTCTATATTGATTATTATACAAAACAAGCCAGTATATATTCAGGGATCTGTCTAGGTTTTTTTGGAGAGGTTCCCATTTCGTTAAAATTTAGACATAATTTGTAAAAATTATATTAGAAAATCAGCACAAAAATTTGTATTTATCGTTTCGTACGGTATACAAAAATAAAATTTTAAGAAATTGTATTTTGTGTTTTCCTAAAGTTGAATTTGTAAAGGTACTGCTAAGCGGTAGTAAATTTGACCTTGACAGACCCGTGATATTTCTTTAAATTTAGCAGTTTTTTGAAGATATAAAACTGGTTATTGATTTTCCTTATTTTAAGCTTGTCTTTTTTTCTTTTTTTTGCATACCTTAAATTAAAGTTACCTTTTTTTTTCATTTTTATTATTATGGGTTATACTATAAAATTTTTTACAATGGTTGTTAAATTTCTACAAACAATGTTTTTGTTTATTATGCATATCTGCGTTGCTGAAATTCGCATTTAAAATCTTTTTTAATTTGATTATACTTGATTTAGGGACATTAGATATTACCATTGTGTTGTTTTTTATCTAACCCACTTTTTCATAAATTATACTTCAGAGTTCTCCCTAGGAATAAAAAAAAGGTGCTGCCTTTCAGAAAAAGGCCCTATAAGTTTTGAAAGGGTAGTCATACAACTCTGTAAAAATTTACCAAAATTGGTAATATTTTGTAATAATTGAATTTGATTCTCAACAATTTTTAAATTACCCACTTATACTATTTTATGTGTATATATTTCAAAAAAATATTTCTCTTTCATTATCAGTGTAAAAAAAATTTTTTTAATTTATAGACATAATTAAAGGTGTGCTAGTAGACAATCTCTGGGCATAAATATTTTTAAAAAAATTATACTAAATTATTAATTGATAAACAACTTGAAAGATTTTTATCTTATTTAAACTGAAAATTATAAAAAATAGAATAAAAATTTTAAGTTGCTTTTAAAAAAAAAAAAAAAAAAAATTATTATTAAAGAAATAATTTTAGAATGTAAAACTATTTTAAAAATTTTATACCCCCATCATGAAAAAAGAGATACTTATAACAATTGAACAAGTTGAGAATAATCATAAAAGTAAATATTTGTAATAGTAATCAGAATTAAACCTATAAACACGGATAATTTACCAATGTTTAATTATTATTTACGCAGTGAACTAATTTTTAAAAAAATGGAATATAAATAAAAAGGCTGTGTTTTTAAGGGAGGGCAGCTTATGTTTACAAAAAGGACAATGGAGGGAGGTCATTTATAAAGATCAAAGGACATGCAGGACTAACCGCCCTTCTTCAAGTGCTTAGGAAGAATAACGTCAAAAATTATCTATTGTATTAAGCACTAACCTATTAAAAAAAAATTTTTTTTTTGTTTTGTTTAAATTGATTATTTTTGAAAATGCGATATGTCTTTTACGAACTAAAAAGTTCTTTATTTAATTTTTTGTACAATTATAATATTTATTGGATTTTAATGTTGGATCAATTTATAACATTAAAAACATCACCCAAATTGATTAATCTTGCCATTATTTTTTAATTCATTCTAAAGCTAACTCTAAAAAACTTTGTACTTATACCACTTTTCAATTAGACTTATTCTACTTTCAGAAATATCGACAAATTTATCTTGCTCACGAGCATCTTTTTTAAACATAATACCCTCTTTGCTATATTTGCAAATATGTGATTCATGACTTTACTCTAATTCAGTGCTGTTTCTCAATTTTAGTTCTTATACCTCCCAGAGGCAATTTAATTATCAAACAAGGCTGAACTACTCACCAAATTTGTTTTAACACTAAAGCTTTATTTTTAATTTTTTTGATAGAGTAAAATATGTTCATAAACAGATCTTAATAGAATTATAAGGGAAATATTTTGGAAGTGGGGAGCATTTTCTTTTCAAAAACATTCTTTTAACTATGTATAGTTTTAAGTGAATGATCTCAACTTTTGAAGGAAAAAATGAAAGATAAAAAGTCATTTTGTAGCAATCATGGGCAATTACGAGAGTGAACAGGCACTCATTCCTTCAGTTTTAAAATATTCTTCTAAGATTGAAAACTTTTATTCAGCTAAAAATTTAATTTTTCGATTGTTTAAATTAAAAATAACAAGTAATAATAATAGTCTCAATTATTAGAAAATAACTTAAAAATTTAATTTAAATTAGCCATGATAAATTACCTCTATATATCATTAAAACAACAAATTTGTATATTTTTTTAAAAAAAATTTTGTTACTTGTAATTTGCATTTTAAATAATTTCTTTATGAGCAGCCAAGGATGGAAAGTTTTTTCCAACTCAGCTGGAAGAAATTGAGGAAACTCTCTCAAAAAGAAATATCAAATATTAAAATGATTTTTAGACAGTTGATAGTTGCAATTTAGTTTTAAGGAAAGTATTTATTTCCCAGCTATTTAAGAAGTGGGATCAATTTTAAATAAGTAAAACTAACTAAAAAGCATCTATCATAACAAAAAAAGGATGAATTTCTTAAGAAATTAAAATAATTATTGTCCTTTATTATTTTATGTAAAAGAGTGTAGTAAAACCTAATTTTATAATTCTATAAAGAATTTTTAAAAACTCTTAATCTTATTTCATTAATACTACTTCACTTAATTAACAAATCATATATTAAACGTACTATTCTGTCTGCTACAAATATGTAGAATATTAAAGTGCATATATTGAATTCACAATTATAAATAGAATACTAATTTTTATTGTCAAATGGTGTAAAGAATAAATATTCAAACTGACTCTTAGATTTGAAATTTTGCATGAAACTAAAAAAATTGAAACTAGTTATTTTTTTTTTAAAAAAAAAAAGGTAGATACGAAAAACTTTTAACTTTATGGTGCTATTTGCTGATTGAGGTAGGGTGTACTATTTAAATTTAAGCAGTATCTTTTGATATTAATTGTTATAATAATCTTGTTAATTTTTAGTTTCTTCCACTTCAGCCAGATTCTTCCAGTTTGTCAAATAACGCAATTTAATGCCTCCAAAAGTCTGTCCTTTTTGTATTGTCAATAACACGCCAAAAAAATAAAATAAAACAAAATTAAAATTTATTAATTTAAAGTTGATATATCATTTTAATTGACAGAGAAGGAACAAAATTTAGTAAAGTCAGTTCTGCGGATAGAAAGATGATTTACTGTGGTACAATTTGCATTCTAACAAACTTATATTATTATGTATTACCTATTTTTGATTTATTGTTTTTTTTACAGTTATGGCACAAGCAATGTTTTAAATGCCAAGAATGTGGTATGACACTGAATATGAAAACTTATAAAGGCTATAATAAGCAGCCATATTGTAATGCGTAAGTTACTCAAGTTTTTATTATTATTATTTTTTGGCATTTTTAAAATATTTTGGAACATTTAAAATGTTTGGACAAATGTATCTGCAAACTTTTCTTGTACCTATTTGATTGGAAAATGTACAAATTGGAAATAACAGTCTACATGTTTCGAGCACTCAAAAATCAATACCCATTTTCCCAACTTGCCAGGTGGCAATTAGAAGAAACAAAATTGATTTAAAATGTAAAATGTTAAGCTGCCAGCAAACAGACTTAGATAAACAAAAAGATCTTCTGTGAAAACCAAATCTCAATTTAAAAACTTTCTGCAAGCAATCAACTCTTGTAACTAGTTTCAACACTTTTGTTGCCGTCTCTAACTAAGACTAAAATAGAAATCCAAGAGTGTTATGTGAAAAACACTTTTTCAATAATTGAAAAATGAGGTAGAAAAAGTATGTAGAATGCATATATCCATAGAATGAACGTTTCATATATCAACGTTTATATATCAACGTTTTAAAATAAAATTATAATTTTAATAGAACTTTTATTTATTTTTATTAGGTAAATAGGAATCTCAATGTGTGATTTTAAAACCGCAATATTTAATTTAAAAGATATCACATCTTGATATTTAATTAAAAATGCTTGAATTCGTATGTTGGTGTTTGTTTTTAAAATCACTTGGGTACAAGTCTTGTTGCCTGATTATAAAATCGCTTGAATATTCGGTGTTTGATTTTTAAATCTTGTGAATTCAAGTTTTGATGTATAATTTTTGAACCACATGAATAGGAATTACACTGTTTTATATAAAGTTGTGAAAATATGCAACACGATGTACAATCTTAAATCATGTAATTACAAAATGGGATGTGTGATTTTAAATACTGTGAATACAAATCGCGATTGGAATTTTTCGGTAATTTGAATGTCATTTTAAATTGCATTTGTACAGATTGGAAAAAGATTGTAAACTTTTACCGAACAGAGTAGTAGATTCAGATTTCCTTGTATGATTACTATAGAGAAACAATAAATGCAATTTAAATTATAGAAAAATCTAACTAACTAACTAACTCAGTGGCGCGACAGCCCATTAAGAGGGCCAAGGCCGACTGTGCCCATCTCAGTTTTCTTGACCTTTGGGCTCTGGGGTGCAGGAGCATATGTTCCGGTCAGGTGGTCAGCCGAACGCGGAACCCCCAGTGTTAGTTCCCAAGCATAGAAAAATCAGGAACTTAAAAAAAAATTTCAAGATAAAGGCCTCGAGAGAAAAGAAAACTAGTAGATGGTTGAAATTAGTAATTCATTAAAACATTCTATCCTTTATTAAATTCAAAATGTTTTATTATATCATTAATTAATAATTTTTGGTACATTAAGATAATTGGTGTAAAGTTGGCTAAAATGCCAATTTTATATCAACTATCTTAAACATTTACCATTCTTGTCAGAAAAAAATATATATTAAGGTTTCAAGCATCTATAATTTGTACAGACTGCAAAATAAAAATATATATGTATTTCAATACGATGCTGTTTAAACTTGAATGTTTAACAAAAATTGAACCTAATTATGAACATTTACATACTAAAGTAAAAAAAATCAAGTTGAAAAAAAAAATTTAAAAAGCAAAATATTTCAGTAAATTAAATAAATTATGAGAATGAGTGTCAAAATATATATACATTGTCTTATCACGATTCTTAATTTTATTATGGCTCTAAAGTATTAAAGTTTTAAAACTAAAGCATTAGTTTTTTTTTTTTTTTTTTTTTTGAAAGGAAATAGAAAAAAAATAACCTCTTAATTTTTAAAACAAAACTTTAATGCTATAACTAATATTTTCGAGAAGAAAAAAAATATTCATAAAGCATTGAAAGAGATAATGTCTATCAGAAACGCTTTTAAAAATGTAGCGCTGTCATAAAAGCGCCTATAAAAACAAAGATCACGTACAAAATAAAAACAGAAAAAATAAAAGGTGATCTAATTTTTTAAAGAAAATTTTAAAGCTAAACATTTCAGTTTTCCAATTACCTTATTTTCAAGAAAAAATTGAAAATTAGTCTAATAGAGATCCTATTAATTGCCGCGTCATAATAAAAGGATAATTTTTTTGAAAAAGAAAAAGCTAGATAGAAATCAAAACAAAAGTCGGTTTTAATTTTTCAATGATAGATATTAACGTCTAAAAATCTTAATTTAACATTTTCACATTGCCATATTTTTAGAAAAAAGTGACCATAAAAATATAGCATTCATTAGAAACACTCTTTAAAAAATTGTCTTTATAAAAACGCTGATAAAAAGAAAAGTTAATAATAAAGATCATTAGAGAAACGTTGTTGGTTCTGAAATATAGCTTAAATGTTGATAATCACTGTATTCTATGTTACTAGTTATCTGTTTTATCATACAAGAAAAAAGTGTCAATAAAAGAATAAAGTCTATTCAAAACACTCTGTTAGCATGCCTCGCTTTAGTTAAGACAGGAAAATGAAAAAGAATTCTCAACTTTTAAAATATAAAGTGTTGAAAAAGCAAAGTTATTGACTTGCCTGAATATAAAAGAAAAAAGCCAGCATTAAAAAACTAATGATTCTGCATAAAGAAATCTAGTTTCAATTCTTCAAATTTCTCTTTTCCTCTTGTCTTGCGGAACAGTAATTAACAAGTTTTAGAACTTAAAAAATATGTGTAAAAACTATTTCTAATAACGCATAGTAAAATATATGATTTCAGATTACTTTTTATTAAATCTATTAACCCCTTCTTGCTACCGTGAAAATGGCGGGGTGAGGTTTCTCTCTCTATTTCTCGCTCCCGTGTTATTGACGGGCTGGAGTGTTCAGTAGTAACGCGCCAATAAGAATAAAGCTAATTCATTTATTTTGCCCGGGAAATTTGTATTTTTTATTTTACACACCAGATGGCAGTACCAGGATATTTTTAAGGTAATTGTAGATAGTTAGTTTATTTTAAACTAGATGTGAGCAATAATCAAATACCAAAGCCAAAAAATAGGTACTTTTATGACCGTTTTCTTGAAAATTAACCGATCGTTAAGGGGTTAAAATTTCTCCCTGTAAAAATTTAGTTGAAAAATAGTTTTCAAAATATTACTTTGGTATATTATTAACAATATTTTCCAAATAATATTTTGAAATAATCGGCCAAACATTAGGCCGAATATTCGTGACATCCCTAGTTGGCATGGCACCATGGATCAGCATTAGGGATCATCATGTGTGTATGCTATGGCATACCATACCATCACATGCTTTCCCATCGTTTTAAAATCTTTTAGTTTGTTTTTCTAAATTTGTACCAAACTTTATTTTCAAGCAACGCATTTTAAATTGCAGTAAGGGTTGTAGGGTGTAAAGAAAGTAAATTTGTCATTAGCTGCAATCTTGACTTAACAAAAGACAATTTAAAAATCGCTCGAACACTAGTGTGAACAATATTTTCAATCAGGAACATTGCTTAAGAACAAGTTAAGTACGCTTGGTGGTGAAAGCCTTGAAAGTTGCTTGAAGTCAAAAGTTTCTGAGTTTTCACCTAAATTAGTGCCTCTTCACAATCTCAAAAATCTCACTAATATTATGTATTTGCGTTTTGATTATATTACTATTCTTTGCAAAGCTTTATGACCTACTCAAGTTAGATTTTTAAAGTCAAGTTTATTTGAATTAGCTATTATGAAAAATTAATCAGTTTTCTTTGATACGGTTAATTACTTCTGTTACTACATATAATAAAAAGTTATGGGTTTTTCAATCACTATATACTTAACAGCAGATAATCGAACACAGTTCGAGGGAACTTTTCATTAACTTGAGAAAATTACTTGCTGTCGGAAAAAAATATTTGACTATTCGTTAAAAAAAAAAAAAAAAAAAAAAAAAAAAAAAAAAAAAAAAAAAAACTCCCTAGGAGAGTGTTAAAAAACTTAATTCAAATTGTTCAAAAAGGAACATGTGAATAAGCTATGAAAAGTTAAAATGTGAAGTCTCTTATCTATCTTGCCATTAATCACGGTGTTACTAGAATAGATTCCACCGCTTGTTGCTCATGTGTCTGCTAACATTTTCTTATACAAACGCTAGTGAATCGCATGTCCGATCTGTTCTTCATTTTTAGTCTTGCATTTTCATTTATTTTTATACACACATATTTAATGATTGATAAAAAGAAATTTTAAAATATCCAGTAAATCGGTTTGATTTTATTTTGTGCTTTAAATAGACTGTCCATTTTTTGGTTTACTACGATAAATGTTCAGCTCCATAGCCTTGTAACTTTGAACCCAGTCCAGAAGATAAGGAGACTCTTGGATCAAGCATTAAGACTAACCAGATTTCGTTGAGGACTTTTTAATAGAACTGCGTTTGCGTTACAAGCAGTAGGAAAACCTCCTACGATTAGCCCTTCGGCAAGGGATTCTAACCTATGATCCTTAGATTACTGAAGATATATTGCGTCAGCACTTCGATCGTTGCGAGCCGGAATATAATTCATATCGACCTTCCATTGCTCGATTTTAACCTGGGTCACCTCATTGGGATTCGAGCATCTATCCCTCGAACCACTACGTCTCAGTCGGTTTGATTATCACACTTCATGTTGAAATATCAGCTTTTGCGTCCCCTTCCCTCTGATATAATTTGAGTTTGAAAAAATATGTTGAAAGTCCGTCCTGGTTTTATAGACTTTCTTGCCACTGCTAGAACTTAATGTTCGGGACGGTGCTATTTCGATGTATTGATATTGTCAGAGATCGGCAAACTGTTGCTCGCGACCCACCCGCATATGATATTTTTGAGATTCGAAAGGTGCAGAGAAAAGTAGACTGGTGCAGAGTTTGCAGACTTCTAATATTTATTATGGTAAAATAATAAATAGTATAGAAAGAGTCTCAGCTATCGAATTTAATGCGAAGAGTATAGCAATCATCTAAATTCTCAAATTTTGTATTAGAGTAAGAATAGTTATTAGAGTTTTGTTA